AATTGTAGCGCCACCTTGTGGTGTAGATGCCTGTGTTTTAAACCTTGTAATGCCTTTTGTTAAAACACGTGATTTCCCATAAAACATAGGATCACATTTTCCCTTTTGAAAAACTCAATTGCAATTTTAAAAAGAAGCATTTTTTGAAGTTCTCTTGTGCAAGACAGAAGAAAAAGTCTTCTTTTCTCTTTTGTCTTTCCCCCTCTCCTTCTTCCTTTATGTAGTGTGCATATACACACAATTAGATGATTTCAAACATTTTTAATCTCCTAATTTACATAAGTGCAAAATACAAGTATCTAATGAAAATATCGTAAAAGATGTCTTATATTATCAGGTGGAAATTTGGACTCCAAATGTTTTCATTACTGTTATCTAACAACTTAAGCAGGAACGAATAAAATCAACTAACACCAGACGTTGCTTACAAAGACTCTCACTATGCTACCTCGACAATGTAATCTTATGGGGAAAAAAAAAAGAAAGCAAATTTGATTTCGTTTAAGTTACTGAAAAGGGAGCCAAATTATTTATTATTCCAACTCTCTTAGAAATAGTAGAAAAAGTCCTCTCTCTCGAGCAATTTGGTAAGTATTTTGTAACCATAAACCAGCCCCTTTTGATTAACTTGAAGGTCTCAGGAAAGTGAGGGAGGGGAGTCCTGGAGAGATTATTTGGAGCTACATAATTAAACCCACAGTTAACTGGAATTCTCACTAACTCCGTCCCCTGAACTCTCCCACAAGCGGACTGAAAGGTATTTATTATTCTGGCCTCAAAGGCGGCGGCCGCGTGTGGGGCCCGCCCGCGCGGTGCTGCGGGGCCGCGTCTGGCTGGGGATCACACGCGGGCGCCGGCGGTGCGTGAGGGGGATGAGAAGTGATGGCAACTGCGGGGAAGTTCTGGGCAAAGCCTTCTATTTGTTTGTTTTACTCGAACATTTTTAATGCCATGTTTTAACATGTGATACAGACCCTGAAAAATAAAACTTCAAGACTTCGGAGCTGCATTTTATGCCGCTCGTTACTCCCAGCTTTACATCCTTGACAGGCACTCGGGGAAGCATTAAAGACTGAAAGAACCTTATCAATTTTACACACTACAACACTTTCTGAGCTCAAATAACAGTATAGATTTAATTTATACTTTTTAACAATCCCCAGGTTCATCTAGTGAAAATGCCGGGTTCCTTATACTGCTGACGCAAAGAGTGAAGAAAGACAGCAGTAGCAACACCGAGAACGTGCGCACTTCTTGGGGACGGAGGGGATTTTTTAAAACCCATATTTATTTTAGCATGGCTTTTATTTATGTCTAACAGTTGTTGGAATGGGGACTGGATAGTACGTGTGTCTCATTTTTCTCTGAAGTCCACTAAATCACTAACAGAAATTTTTTATTAAAAAAATTTAATGCAAAATATTCAAGTCAACATTTTAAAATTAAGAACAGCGCACTTATTCAGTAAGTATCCCAAATGTATACATTATTTGAATTGTACATTATGGATGGTATGAAGAAAAAGGAGGGAATCCCTGTTTCAATTACCCAGGAAACCTGAGCAGTGGGAATTAGGCTGATAGGAGGGCTGGATATTTCGGAGTAAGTCCTAGCTTGTAACCCTTCGGTTCACTTAAATTGCTGGGTACGTGGAGTGTAATCAACTCAGTACATCCTGGGGCTGAGCTCTTCAATTCGATTGGCGTTGAAACCCTGAAAGTCGCGTGTGTGGACCGCACCAAGAGTTCTACGTCTGCTCCTTCAGTGCCATTTGACCGTCTCCGTGGACTGGCCTCTGAAGTCGTGCGTTTGCGCACTTCCTTTTGCTGAGAGTGGCTTTCCCTTCCATCTGGCCCGATTTCTGCTTATCCTTTAAGACGCTTTGCCTTTCACTCGGAGGCTACCTTTTTGTTTAGTATTTATTATTTTATTTTATTTGTTATTATTTATATATTACGCCACCTCAGGTAGAGCCTAAGAGCATTGTCACATTAGATTTCCATTCCCCCTCAAGCCTTTTGTTATGCATTTTACTTCTACAAATGGTTACAGCCCCCCAAGGCATTGTCATTATTTTTGCTTTCAACATCTTTACTTTTTAAAAGAGCTTTCTTACAAGATATTTAAAATTATCATAGAACTGTCGTCATTATAATAGTAATTATAACTGGTAAGCAGTTGCAGGAGTGCAGGGCAGGCAAGTAGGCTGCTTGAGCAGAGTGGGGCGCCTCCTAACGGACTGCACGGAGCAAGACGTGTGATGAATACCGCATCACCGACTAGTGGGGAAAGGGTGGCTTATTCAGTAGAAAGTTCTAGGACTGCAATCAAATGGGGGGGAACTAAATTAGAGCTGCACTGATCAAGGAGATGATGATCTTTATAATTGAGATGGGGAGGTCGTTCTTAAGACAAAGTGCACAAGCCATAAAAGAAAAAACAATCTCAACATACAATACTTCAATTACCGGCTGGGAAGATGGCAGCTTCCTGAGGACTGGGTGTTCACGGAGAAGGCAGCAAATAGGCAGATGGAAATGCTGGCTGTCAGTACCTGGAGGGCATCCCCAGCATCCTGCATCTACTGCACAAGCAGCTTACCTTGAACTGGCTGAAGCATGAAAGGGCACTTGCAGGCTCATCGATGTGATGGGTAAAGGGAACCACAGACACGGCAGAGCCCAGAAATTCACTGAGGAGGAGGAGGTGGAGAGAGTTGAGGCCATGCAGGCTTCCCAGTCCGGAAGGGAGTGGGAATTGGGCGCTGGGGCTACGGCCAGTGTGGGCAGCCACGGTGCGTGTGAAGGAGGAGCAGCTAGGGCGTGAGTGCCCCCCCGCCCCGCCACCCCCCACCATCCCGCAGGACATCTGCCCGCAGAGTCCAGGTAGCATGTGTCTGGCAGCAGTCTTACTGAGCTCTCCTGAAGGACTCGCACACAGCCCTTTGTCCAGGTACCACCCAACATGGTCTGAACTGTCACGGGACTTCCCCTGTCTTCTCTGTTCTCCCAATGATATTAAAAGGCCGCCTTTGTGGATTCATCTGTCTGAGACCTAACTTCTCTGTGTCAAAAACATTGTTGATTTTGGTTTTGGAGTTAAAGCTCATAGAATCGTTTTTTTTGGTTTTGTTTGATTTCTCTGAAAAGTGAGGAAGCAGAAGACTGACTACTGTGGAATAATCTGTTTAATGGTGATGGATACAGTAGATGCCTACTTGCTGTCCACTCTCACCCTTCCCTTCCTGGGGTATTTACCCCAGGCAACCACACCTTCCCTTTCCGGGCTGTGTAGCTTCAAGCGAAGGAACTCAGGAATGTGCCCACTCACCTTATAACTCATTCTACTTATTAGACACCGACTGACAGGCGAGCAGACAGCCCAGCCATCGGCGAGGAGCTTGGCCTTCTGGGAGAGTCAGACTTCTTTCCTTTTCCCTGGTAGCTACCGGAGAAGAGTCATACTGTGTGCAGCACAGTGTGAGGATGTGCCTCTGGAGCTCATACACTTGTCTGCCTTAGTGAAGAGCTGCCATGTGGACCCCACAGAGGGACGTATGT